ATAAAGCAAGAAAGTTGAAAGGATGAGTTTATGGCTAAAGACCAGAGTGTATCAATGGCTTAAATAAGTGATGGGGATCAAGGAGGGCACCTGTTGTGATGAGCACCAGGTGTCGTATGTAAGTGATGAATCACTAAATTCTACACCTGAAGCTGATATTACACTGCATGTTAACTAAAGGGAATTTAAATAAAAACTTGTAAGAAAAAATAAATTAATGAAAGATTTCAGAAGTATCTAGTGAAATGAAATGTCTGGGGTGTGAATGTCCTACAAGTGCTTGATAAGGGGTGGGGGAAAGGCCACTGTACATGAAAAATCTTTGCCAAACCCCAGATCAAGAAAGCCTATGAACCTTCTAGCACCACCTAGACTTCTCTGGCAGAGTGTGTAGGTGGTATTCTTGATGACCTTTTAGTTGTAGGCCATCTGACTTCCTTGAAATTCCAATACTGGCCTGGGCCAGCAGGGAATGAACCAGAGAAAATGGAAGCATTAATACCATCTTATCCTAGTCTAGACCCAAGTTTCCGCAAAATAATGGCTCTGGGAGAAGCTATTCCTGGTCAATTCTAGTCACAAAGTAGTCATGAAGATCCAAGTGATTTTTAAGATATACGCTTTGTCTCCCTAACTAAATTGTAATCACCTTCTGGTACAAGCAGAGAGATAGTGGTTACCAAATGATGATACATTTCAAATACCTCAAGAATTATGTTTGGATCCTTCAAATGAATGCTATTTATTCTGAAGGCTCCATCTGCTGGAAACATAAATAATTCTCTCCAGCAGGTATGGTTTGATTTTTAACTAGTGCTTTAAAATATCATTAGAGATACTACTGCTATATAAGAATGCAATCTATACTTAACAATCCTTTAGGAAGAGAACTAAAAATTCAATAAGGTTGATTAAGTAACAATTACTTGGAAAAAATACTATGAAATGACAACAGCTTATAGTGGGAGTGAATTCAAAAGACTACTATAATTACCAACCCTCCAGCCATGTACCTTTTAATTAAACCACAGTATTTATAAAAGCATAAACATTAAGCCTGTTAATAAGTTAAACTATCTTTTTACATAAACCACCACCAAACTGCCCCACCCCCACTCTATAGCACTACTTATAGTACAACATTTGTGTTCAGATACATTTAAGTGAAAGCAAAATTTAGTTTATGTATTAATATTTTCAATAAGATAAGTCAGTCATTTAAATTATACTTAGACTACACATTTAATGGCATAAAATATAATATTAAAATGAAATTCTTTATTAGGGCTATATGTTCTTAAGTGAGGTGATACAGGTAATTATCAAGAAGTATCCCACCAACTTCTCATTATTCAGCTCCTGTAACCAATTCTTTTATGATCAAATTCTCTTGAACTCAAATCTCTCTTGCTAGCAGTCTATAAACTTTTATCATCACAACCCTCCAAAAAATTTGAATGGATATACTTAAGCAAATGGCTACTAGGTTCTACCCCAAGATTTTCTGCCTTCAGAATAACAATCTCAGCCATTATATTTTTTTTTCTATTTGCTAACTAAGCAACAGGCATATTAATTTACTCTCAATCCCTTTCTAGGGATTACTTGACTTGTAACTGTCAAGTAAAGAGAGACTGAGTTTATAAGTCTTTACATTGTGCATTTAGAAGTATTCAAATTAAGATAGCTCAGTATTTGGCATATAGTTTATAAACATACACTACACCAGAAGAACCCTGATGAAACAAAGTAGCAGGACATTTTAAAACTATTCTATCAATTCAAGTTGAGTTTTACAACTAATATAACTGACCTAAAGTTGTCTTATATCACACTTATGCAGTCTTTTCCTATCTAAAGAAAATGATAAAATGAAAATAGTTTGAGGTTTTAAATTCTAGATATAGAGCATCCAATTTAACGCACTTAAGAATCTGTCATTCCCCCCTACTAACTTATAAGAACTTGGATTATCTAGGTCAAGAAACTGTCTTTAGATTCATCTTGAAAATCTCACATTTTAAAAATGCAACTAAAAGGGCACCAAGGTGGCTCAGTGGGTTAAGCATCTGACTCTTGATTTCAGCTCAGATCATGATCTCACAGTTTGTGAGTGTGAGCCCACCATGGGGCTCTGCGCTGACTGTATGAAGCCTGTTTGGGATTGGGATTTTCTCGCTCTCTCTCTCTCTCTCTCTCCGCCTATCCCCTACTCATGCTGTCTCTCTCTCAAAATAAATAAACTTCAAGTAAGTAAACAAAATAAAAATAAGACAACTATAATAAATTCACATGAACAAAATAATGGCCTTTTCTAGAACATCACATGCATACATAAGCACCAACTGCTAGCTACATGAAGAAATTAGACTGAGAATTCGTAACCATTACAACAGGCACTAGGTAATCTGATCTGACTGGCTTTGCATTCTGTTTTCATTTCATAAGACCCTTCCGCAGACACCTTTTAAAACAAAAAGTTTATTGTTTAGTGTCATCTTTGGCATCATCAAAACATCGTTTTTATGCCATGATTATTGAAGACTATCATTATTATTATTATGATTCAAGCTCTTTAACAGTGAAAATTAGAGAACAGAGTGATTGGATTTTTTTTTCAATATCAAAACAACTTAACTTTCTCATAAATACTGTGTTTAGCAAACATTGATAAATATGCTTTTATCCAACAAGAAGATTTAAAGAAATTCAACTCACAACTAGTTCTGAAATGCACATTAAACTAACAAGATTTAATTTTTTGCAACTAACCATCCAAAAATTCAAGTGAGGTAACAGTCATCACTAACAGAGGTTTGGGTACCTAAGGCAACCAATCACCAGACTCTCCTATATATTTACATCTACCTGTTTTTGTAGCTATGCAAGCCTTAAGAACAATATGGAAAGATAGCCACAAAAGCTACTTGGCACAAGGGATATGCAGGTGGAGGAGTCTTAATAAAAAAGAGGGAGGCAAGCAAAACTCAGAAAAAAGAGCAGTTAAAAAGTTATGTTTCACTGATATGTTTTATACATATGTAAAACAGAAATTATGTCTTATCTGCATAAAAATTAGGGGAAAAGAATATAGTTAGATCTACAATACTAAGTTGCTGTAAGTGAAAAAGGAAAAACTCAAAGTAATGTATATAGTGTTCTATTATAGTAAAGATAAACCACTTATGTTTATATTTGCAAGGAGGAAAGTAGAAGTATATAAAGAAGCGAACACGAATTCCTTCTATGGGATGAAACTGCAAAGGGAGCGTCGCCTTCACGTATCTTTCAATGGTACTGTTTTCCTTTAAACATGTATTGAAGAGGGCACCTTTTGGGATGAGCACTGGGTGTTGTATGGAAACCAATTTGACAATAAATTTCATATATTTAAAAAAAATTAAATTAAAAATAAACATGTAACACTTTTACGTGCTGAAAAAATTAGAAAAACTGATGTTTATTTCTGTTGTTGTTTAAAAATACATACCTTGACCTTGCCATACTTTAGAAGGTATTACTAATATTTTGTCACAGGAGGCAGAAGGCTGGATCCAGCGCCAAACTAGAAAATCTGTACCACCTATTCTTCGTGTCTCTGTGCGAACTCTAGACTCATTAGCAGCAAGGAAGTCAACAGCTCTATCCCAGACTTTCTTCATCTTTTTCCTGTCATGTGAACAAAATGACAAATGTACTATCATCTTGGCTTGTCATCTTTTTCAAGTATTAGTAATTGGTTATTGTAATTTTCAAGTATTAGATAATGGTTATTATTAACTCTGATTTTTCTGATCGCTGCTTATGAAGTTTTTTTCAAAAAAGATTTAGATGCTTGAAGCTCATGTCAGATTTACTGAATGTCAATCTCCAGAGGTAGAACATAAGCATCAGTAATTTTTCCCCCCAAAGTCCACTGATGATTCTGAGGTGTTGCTAACAGTGAAGAATGCTGCTTTAGGATATGGAATCATCTTTTATTTTCAAGAAGTTATTATTTAGTATTTTTATTTAAAAAGCTTCATTAACAACAAAATATTTAAGGCATTATTAGTAAAACATCACTGGCTATTGTCTATCTCTGTTTCTTTATCAAGATGAAATTAACGGAAATAAGGTGAAAACTGACAACAAAGAATCAAAAATGTATAGAAGTGATAATGATTTGGAAATCCAGTTGTCTATCAGGCCACTCAAAATTAGGAGGACAAGACAGGGAATTTAGAAAGAAAGGAGAGTTTAAAGTACAAAAGTAAAGCAGGTCTACTTGAAAAGGGCCCCAACTCTCAATATCATTATCACGATTTCAGAAGATACCAACATTCAGATCTACTTTGACTCACAAGATTTTGAACACACCTGTCATGAGGCTGTATTAAGGAATCTTGCACATGTGGAATAGGCATGTAAGGTTGTAAGTCTTTATTTTCCTGGCAAGCTTCATTATGACTTCGTAAAACATCTGAAAATAAACAAATTTACAAATGAATCAATGGACATCACGTTGTAATTTTTCACATGACTACTCTAGAAATAGTTTCGATCTTTTCAAATACTTATACCTATTATCTTCACCACCATATCATACATCTGTCTTGTTTCCTCTTCTTCTTTTGTCCAGCGATATTTCATGTAACGCAGAACGACACAAACCATCACTACACCTGCAATATTTACATATTTTGTGTTTTAAAAATTGTGGTCAGTGGCATTCAATTAAGTCACTGCAATCTGAAGTTATTGGTCTAATCGTTAAATCTGATGTTAACAAAACACAGCAAAGAAAGAGAACTCTTAGGACAGTTTCTACAGTAATTATTTTAACTGCTATAATGGTATAATGGAATGGGCCTTCAAAACAGTGGACTGAATCAGCTACATAATTACTATTACATAGACCAATTTGGTGTTAAACATTTTCCTGAGTTTCACTTAATCTCTCTAGAAAAACTATCTCTTCCATTATGTTGACAACTCAACATTTAAATTCTATTTTTTTTAAAACAATGTAACCACATCTCACAAACTTTTTCCTTTGCCACATTAAACTACACCTGACTTTAAGTAAATATACTACACCTGACTTTAAGTAAATTATTTTTAAAGGACTTTAACAGAAAAAAGAAAAAAATGAGTATCTTCTAAATTCCTATAAACGGGGAGCCTGGGTGGCTCAGTCGGTTAAGTGTCCAACTCCTGATTTCAGCTCAGATCATGATCTCATGATTCGTGAGATCGAGCCTGGAGTTGGGCTCCACGCTGGCAGCAGGAAGACTGCTTGGGATTCTCTCCCTTTCTCTCTGTCCCTCCCCTGCTCACTCACTCTCAAAAATAAACCTAGAAAAATAAACTCCTATAATCAATCAAAACAGTCACAGAAAATCCAGGAATCCAAGGTAAATGATAGTTTTTAAATCAAAAAGAATTTTAATGAACTTAATTTATAATATTTTATTATTTAAAAAATAAGCTTAATTTTTAAATTTTCCTGTTCTATTTTGTTAAGATTTCTGTTTATGCACCATACTTGCTTTTCCTGACATTCTTATGATAAAGTTTTATTCCAACTTCCCTTATAATACTGATTTCTAAGTCCTTAGATTAATACTGACGATATGTATAAAAAAAGTCAGTTATTATACCTTAATGAAGACTTCTCGATGTGATTTATAACGGGAACTACCACAGAAGTAAATTCTCAACTGGTAAAATACAGACACAAAAATTCTACACTATCATGTATCTTCTTTCTCACCCCACCAACTTACCTAAGCATAACAACAATAACCTGTGGGTGACAGTAATAAAAGCACGTCGAAAACGACACCAGAAAGACATCTGTGGTCTTGTGGACTGTAAAAACTGCACATCAGTTATATTTTTCAATTGCTCCTCGGGGCCATAACCAACACACCTATTTAAAAATAATTAAGGAGACTTTAGAGCCAAAATCACTACTTATACTACAAAATGGCCAAAGTGGAAATTAAATCCTTTACCTTATTCCAACATCTTTTCCATTTTTTAAAATCCACTTCAAAGAAATATTAAATATATCTTCATATTCAGGGCCTAAATCCTAATAAGAAAAATGGAGAAAATAACTAACTATTCTTAGTCATTTACATTCTTTTGACTCTGTGTAAGCTATACTATAAATACCATACTTTCATTTTTATATAACACTTGAAGCTATATTACATAACAAAAATGTATTATTCATTACAGAAAAACAAAAGGAGAAAAAAAAAGTCACAATTTCCCCACCATCCTAAGATAACCAGTATTAATATTTTGTTTTGTTTTCTTTTTCGTTCTTTCACATTTACAGATTTGGAGGATTTTTTTTTTTAAAGTAATTTGTCTTTTAAGTATCACTGTGGTAAGAGTGGATGAGCTAATTTTTTTATGGAATATTATTTTTAGATGAACAAATGGCAAACTATTCAGAGTTGGCTGTTTCACTGACATTTTCTCAACAAATGAATGAAGCAGGCCTGTCAACTCAAGAAAAACAGTTGACTTCGTTACCAATGATGACATTCAAGCTTTCATGTCAAAAGCAAAATTTGGAAAAAGTTGAATCCATTACTATAAGTTTGACACCCTTGCAGCACTTGAAGACCTTTGCAATGAGACTGGTGCAATATTAATGAATGCGACTTTGGGGTATGGCATAATGAAAGGTGTCAAACACTGAGAAGACCTGCATAACCTACAAACCAGGATTTTCCAAATGACCAATGCAGGAGTCATAAAGTCTTGCACAGGTAAAGGATCTATCTGTTCTACGTGTAACCTAGAAAAAGGACTGTAGAGACAGAGTAAACAAAAATCACCGATACGGTTTCACATTGCACACTGCAACTAATCTTTAAGAAACTACTACTTAGAATTTTGGTACAGTATCAAAGAAGAGTATCTACAATTATCTGAAAAAAGTATTAAAATACTTTTCCCTGTCTTGACTACGTATCTCTATGGGGCTAGATTTTCTTGACATACTTCAACCAAAACATCACAATAGACTGAATACAGAAGCAGATACGAAAATCCAGTATAGTTTTATTAAGCTACACATTAAAGATTATAGAGATTTGCACACATGCAAAACAATGCTACTATCACTAAATGTTTTTATTTTGGATAATATAGTTATTTTTCATAAAAATACATTGTTAAATGTTAACATGTAATAAATTCATTATTCTTACTTAAAAGAATAAGTAAATTTAATTTTTCTGCTTAAATTTCTAATAAGGTAAATATATGTCTAAATCTATCTATGTATATATATCCCACAGACAAAAGCCACATAGGGTCCTCAGTAATTTGAGGACTGCAAAAGGGTCATGAAACCATAAAGTTTAAAAACTGCTGTGCATAGGTATATTATGTATTTTTTAATTAAAATAATGTGGTATCACGTTATATGTACTGTTTATTCCACTTGCTCTTATCACAAAACGAAGTATTATTGTGTCAATATCACCAAACATGGAACAACCCTATTTTTTTTTCCAGCAACATAGTGTTCTAGTCTATGGCTGGTTATTTTATACTTTAATCAACCTCTTATTAATGAACATTTAGAGTGTTACCGATTATTTTAATGTATCAAAAACACTATAATAAATACCCTTGAAAATTCTTCCATTCAATAAATATTTATTGAGGGTCCACTATGTGCCAGGTACTGTGCTAAAACCCAGAGAGATAGCACTAAGCAAAACAGTCAAACTTCCTTGCTCATGGAGCTTATATTCTATTCAATGTATTTTATGTACTTTTTGAAGTGCAAAGAATGAACTTCTAAAAACAGCAGTAAAAAGACATTTTTTTTAGAAAGTTTTTTTTTTTTAAGTTTATTTTGAGAGAGAGTGCGAGAGAGCAGGGGGGAGGCAGAGAAAGGGAGAGACAAAATCGCAAGCAGGCTCCATGCTGTCAGAGAGGAGCCTGATATGGGGCTAGAATTCACAAACCATGAGACCATGACCCGAGCTGTAATCAAGAGTCGGACACTTAACCGTCTGAACCACTGAGGTGCCCCAAGAAGTCATTTTTAAAAACATTTTAAAAAGAATTTTGTAAGTAATAGCTGTTGCATTTTATCAACAGATTCTTTAATAGCACTGGAAATTAAGGTTTACATTTGATCAGGACAATTTACTTCCTAATATGAAACGGGCGAGTTTTTTTTAATGTATCAAATCTGAAAATACACAAAGCTTTATGAAGCAGAACAAATCTTACTAGGCATCATTACTTATGTGTAACTACTACCAGGATGTTTTTAGATGGTAAAGAGAAATACAAACTACCTGTTATTGAAAAAAAAAAGTGTAATCTTTCATCATTATTTATAAATATCAAAAAATTTGTAGCCAATGTAAGTATAATAACTGACAAATGGTTTATAGATGAGATCACTTCAAGGGAATACTATGAATTTGGAGATGATCATTTAGAGCTAAGTAGCTAATGCTTAAAGTAAGACAATATGCAATTAAATATAACTATAACAATTTTACTCATGAATAACTAAAAAAATTTTTCAGTGATTTTTGTTTAAGCTTTACTATTGCTTTAAAATGTCATACAATAAAATTATACTAAAATAATTTCAGTCAATTACGGTTTTGTTATAATTACACTGCTAGAAATCACCTGGTATATAACTAAAAATCAAAACTCATATTCATTTGCTCTAAAATTAGAGAAGAAAAAAAAACTGATGAAGGAACATCAAGAGAACTTAATTTCAGTTTATATTGCATCAATCAGGATTAAAAAAGCACAAGCTATAGAGGGCCTTGAAAATCCACAAAGCAGGATTAATATGGGTTATCCATGGAGTTGGAGACATTGCACTCATTGTGATGGATAGGGTTTTTTTTTTTTAAGTTTTTATTTTAATTACAGTTAGTTAACATACAGCGTAATATTAGTTTCAGGTGTATAATACAGGGATTCAAATTTCCATACATCACCCAGTGCTCATCACAAGTGCACTCCTTAATCCCCATCACCTATTTCACCCACCTCCCCAGTCCACCTCCCCTCTCTCTGGTAACCATCAATTTGTTCTCTACAGTTCAGAGTCTGTTTCTTGGTTTGTCTCTTTCATATTCCCCTCTGTTCATTTGTTTTGTTTCTTAAATTCCACGTATGAGTGAAATTATATGGTACTTGTCTGTGACAAACATTTCATTTAGCATTATTTAGCATTATATATAATTCTACATCCATTATGTTGTTGCAAATGGCAAGATTTCATTCTTCATTCCATTACACACACACACACACATCTGTATGTGTGTGTGTGTGTATGTATGTGTGTATATATATATCTCCTATCTTCTTTATCTATTTATCAATCGATGGACACTTAGGCTGTTACCATAATTTGGCTATTGTAAATAATGCTGCTATAAACACAAGGATACCTGTATCCTTCTGAATTAGTGTCTCTATATTCTTTGGGTAAATACTCAGTAATGAGACTGCTGGATTACAGGGTAGTTCTATTTTTAACTTTTTGAAGAACCCCATACTGCTTTTCACAGTGGCTACACCAGTTTTCATTCCCACCAACAATGCAAAAGGGTTCCTTTTTCTCCATATCCTTGCCAACACGTGTTTCTTGTGTTGTTGACTTTGGCCATTCTGACAGGTGTAAGGTGATATTTCACTGTAGTTTTCATCTGTTATTTTTCTGATAATGAATGATGTTGAGCATTTTTCATGTGTCTGTTGGCCATCAAATGTCTTCTTTGGAAAAATGTCTGTTCGTGTCTTCTGCCCAGTTTTTAACTGAATTATTTGGTTTTGGGGTGTTGAGTCTTAAAAGTTCTTCATATATTTTAGATACTAATCCTTTATCACATATGTTATTTGCAAATATCTTCTCCCATTCTGTAGGATGCCTTGTAGTTTTGTTGATTGTTTTCCTTTACTTGCAGAAGTTTTTCATTTTGATGTGGTCCCAACAGTTTATGCTATGCTCGCTACAAGTGCAGCTACCATTGGTCACCATACAATACCACTATAATACCACTGACTATGTTCCCTAGGCTGTGCCCCTCATCCCTATAACTTATTCATCACTTCATAATTGGAAGCCTGAACCTCCCACACTCCTTCACTCATTCTGCCTATCCTCCTACCCACCTCCCATCTAACAACCACCAGTTTGTTCTCTATTTATGGGTCTGTTTGTTTTATTTGTTCATTCATTTTTTAGATTCCACATACAAATGAAATCATAAGACGTGGTATTTTTAAAAATCAATGAAATATACATTTTGTATTTTCTTGTATTTATATGTTCTTCAGCCTATATTACAACAATATGCAAGATATAATGACATTTTTGCTTTATTACATAGAACTTTGAAGGCTAGACTATACATGTAAGTTTCAAATAACATAAAAACAAATTTCCAAGTTTATTAGCTGTATATTTTAAACATAAGAATTTTAGAAGGCTGAAGATAGTATAAGTAGCATTACTGCCTTCATTAATTATCCTTAAAAATGTACATAATGGTTCAAATTAACAAGAACACCTACTCTAATAAGCTAATTATATGCAGGAACAAAGAACTTAAAACTTTTAGTTATAAAATAATAAGGGTAAGAAAGGATATCTGTGGTTATTTTCCCATTTTGTTTTCCTTTCCCATGTTAATACTACTTACTATCTGGAATACAGTAAAACCATTCCCTTTATGAATACACGTTTTCAAAAACCAATTGCTAATTTATTTAAAATCTCATTAAAGATGTAATAGAGTATTAAGGTCTGAAACAGGTCATTATTTCCACAAACGTTCTACATAGTATACAGAGTTCTATAGTATTATGAAGTAGAATTTTTGAAGATATAAAAGATGAATTTATTTTCTGGCTTATGCCAGTTAAACAGCTTAGGCTAACATCATAGTATACATAGCATACATATCTTCCTGATTTTAAGAGTAGAAAATATTTTATTATTCATTTTTTGTAGCCACCTAAAAAGCTATAAGGTAGGGGCAGGCCGACCTTTTCTGCAAAGGACCAAAGAGTTAAGTATTT